CATTTAAAGTATAGACGCATATTGCTGATCCAGCAGGAGCATTCCTATTAATAAAGTATTCATAATAGCATTAATGATAATGAGGTACTTACTCAGATGATGTGAAAGCACCATACATGTATTCTCCTGACACGTTAGATACATGAACTGTGTCCTCTATTGTTGAATAAATATATGTTAGTAATGATATGGTGACATACGTAAGCTGTTGAAAGTAAATGGGAAATCACTGCCTGACTTTGCCCTTGACTGGCACAAAATACGAGCCTTGAGATATGTGACAAAAACTTTTGTAGAAGTAGGAGCAAGAATATTAGTGACACCAGTATCATTCTAGAGTACCAGTAATGAATTAGTGAGCATAAGAAGCATTATTATACGTACCTTACAGACTCTACCAACTCTAGAGTATATCTAAAGTGGAGGAGGAAAAACAAATGAAATAAAGTTATGCCCACATTGCATTCACACACGTTATGAACACATGAATCCAACCCACACTGAGGGAGTTGTTCTACAGTATGTAGATGCACAATGGTGTTACTATAGCTACAATGGGTATTTATGTTTAAATGAAAGCTACTGGCACTGAACATGCACTGATTCTTGATATTGTCAAACACTATTGGTACATCCCTATAATGGGACCCAAGCACTTATTAGTATTGCTAAATTCAGTTAAGAAAGAATCTGCTAGCACTTATATGAAGCCATCACAATGGCTCTACAGAAGCCAACAGTGAATAGTTTCAAATAGCAACTCACAGGGCGCATAGAAACTTGTCCGATCTCTTCCGCCGTCTCTCTCATAAAGAAATAGTAATAATCACCAAACTCATATACATCAATAAATTCTGGTTCTAAAATATAAAATAGAAAGAATAGAGTCTTTCATATAATGATGCTAAATAAAGCACATACCTTGAAATGATATGTAGTAGTTAATGGTACTGACTGAAGCAGTTCCATTAAATGGAGAGTGAGACAAAGACAGTCCATAGCTACTAGCTCTGACATTGAGTGATGTTCCTGATACTAAATTCCCATTGCCTAGGGAGCAACAAAACATGTTTGTGAACTCTGCAATATACGCATTGCATTCCATGAATTATTATTCTACGGAGGATTTAATCTGACGTAATGATACTATGATTTAATTTACGAATGCATCTCCTGTGCATGTTCACCAGATGTGTTTTTTCCTACCAGGTCGGGTCACCTGTAGCTTACAACTATTGATTAATATGGTGCAGGAGTTGTAGCCATGCATTTTGGTACATCAACAGTCAATAATGTAATTATTAGAGTAACTCACTTGATAGAATGGATGTACTGACTGAGTTGCGATCAAAAGGACAGAAATTTCTACCCTCATAGGATTTCAAGAGGGTCAAGTCTGTACGCTGGTGAAGATAATATAATCAAAGTAATAATTAGAAGAAATATTTCTTACATTTCTGTAAAAGCAAAGAGGCTGATAAGCATCAGAGCCACAGGCTAATACTGTCTCATTGAGTGGTACAGTCTGGTTATTGTCTAGTGATAGGAGGGTATCTGTTGTTGGTATGTGCAATATATGATGAAAGTTCTGACAATTTGCCTATAATGAACAAGGTTATGAATCATGAACTATCATCATCATTATGTACCAATGATTCAAATATAGCATTACTGGTTCTGCACGTGTTTATCTTTGTAGCACTAGGTGTAGCATTCTGTGCCTATAATAGCAAATCAGACTAGCAATACATTATTTATTATTTCACTAACATTTAATGTAGTCTTTAGATCCAATGACAAATGGCATATATTATTCCTAAAGAGATAAACACATTATTAGACAGCATTAATATAACTTAAGCCAGTTAGTAGTACTACTAAGGTAGTAATTATTTAGACTGTTATTGCTTTCACTCATTGATCACACACATATACTAAGAAGATTGTCATTCTAAAAATGGCATCACATAACAGTAGCAGTAGAGTAACAGCAGTAAATATGGTGAAATCATGCTGCTAATAAAGGCTGTCTTGGTTCATGTATGATGATGCACTAGGGGAGTTGGTTCACAGTTCCCATATCAAATCAATGACTAGAGTTGCTGCTCATAATTATAGTAAATGTTAATGGCAGCATATTTAGCACCTGGACACGTTCTATTGGCTACATTTATTGACACTTAATGATATGTCTAGGTCCTGTTTATGTGTTTGTAGGGTCACTATGCTACCTTGCTCTTCAAAAAGAAACAATTCTGAATTTTAAACCAACATTCCTGAGAATATTATATTCATAGGCCAAAATGTACATAGCAAACTTCTTCACAATATCAACAATAAAACCACAAAAGTCTGTTGATGCATAGCAACTCACTTTGCAGCCACTATAATTAACTTATTAGCATGGTCGATTTTAAATAGATCTAGAGAGAGAGAGAGAGAGAGAGAGAGAGAGAGAGAGAGATATGGAGAGAGAGAATAGTAACAGTGCCGGAAACAGGAGAAATGAAATAGAAATTCAAATATTATAAGGAAATCAGCAATCATGCATCTTAATAGAGTCATGATGATTATATCATTTACAGTACACTACAGGTCTATTAAGCAGCAATGCAATCAAAGGAGTGAAAGGTCAATGCTCCATGAAAAAACATTTACTCTAACAAACTAAATAATGCTTTATCATGGCCTTATAGTGAGAAGTACTAAGTAATGTAAGCTAGAAATAGTACAGTATATATAGGACACAGAGTAAGTTAAGAATTTCATATTTCTGTGATACTACAAAGTGCAAACATATGATCGTGGTTTCCAGTCTAGTGACAAAATAAAGCAAGGAATGTACAATGTGTATGTTCATGTACAAGGATTGCTCTCTCTCCCTCTTTTACGTACTGGTTAGTTCAATTTGTGGATGACTCCAATAAGTGTAGTCTTGTGAATAACAAGCTGTTGCTAATAGCACAGGAATTAACAGAGCACATAGCCTCATGATGAGAACTGCAACAAAGAAAAAGTGACTAATCAAAAAATTGAGTAAGAGAGTAGGAGTCACTAGGGCGTTAAACGTTACCGGAATGCTATTAATGTAGGTCACACTTAGCAATAGACTCCATTACTTTGGCTATCATGAAGATGCTGTGCCTCAAAGCAGAGCACATCATGTTACAAAATCATGCTGTTCGCATATCGACTTCATCGCCGGGCGGAAACCGCCGGCCGATATTTCATACAACTCTCCGCCGCAACTCTATTCATTCTTCACGATACTTACAACTATAAGCCAATTGGTTCCGGCACAAAGATAGCTCGTTCCTTATCTCAGCAGAGCAGCGATATCTTCAGTCAAGAGCTCTCCGCAGTCAAGGTTTACATCTATTCTCATCCAAGCCTGGCAAGTCGTTCCTATTAATCGCAAGCCGCCCACGCGCATTAATGGGCCCTGCCCACATTAATACCGTGTATGTACATGTACATGTAGCTGGAAAAGTTTGCGTGAATTATATTTTGGGATTTTGTACCAATATAGCTATTTTTTATGTTTGTGAAATTTAATTTTACTGGTGTAGGCGTGTACTGTTGATACACCCATTACTTATAATGATTTGCGGAATTAAATTGTGCGTTTTTATGATGAACAGCAAACAGCAAAATTAAATTCCAGCAAATATTTCCAGCTATACGGTAATTATTTTTTGATAAAATTATCATTATTTTTAAAAAGTTACGATAATAACCAAGAAACAGTTTCATCTAGAAGTGACATCTTGAAGTGCCTTTAACAGAGTAATGCGTTATAAAGAATGATCAATAAATCAATGACTCACTGTGCAATGGTCTTGAATGTTCTGAGCTGTTCTTCATATTGTTTCAATGAAACAGTCTCAGTAAACTGACCAGCACAACTACAATAATCAGGCATGTTGGTCTCTTTTACCTACAAAAATATCAGTTATGCATATAATAAGTGAGAAATACCCCTTGACATTTGACGCATTTGAGATCCTGTATAACCATGCCGACTGATCTATTGTGAACAATATCGATCAGCTTTAACTCAATCACGTCTTGATCATACTGACTGTTACAATGAGAGCAATGCCATATTGATCTAAGGGAGAGAAAGAGGGAGAGAGAGGGAGGGAGAGGAAGATGGAGGAGAGAGAGAGGGGGGGAGGAAGAGAAAAATGGAGGAGAAAGAGAGGGAGGGAGGGAGGGAGAGAAAGAGAATGATGGAGGAGAGAGACTACCGGTAAGCTATATTCTAGTAAATCTAATACACATACTTGTCTAATTGCTGGTCATACGTAGTGTGTGGATCACGACACAAATCAATGTCCCTGCAATGATTACAATGCTCACATATCACAGATGCTAACACGTAAGAGCAACAAGGATCAACAAACACTGCTTCCTCTGAAAACTCTTTGACACCAATCAACTTGAGCAGATCCCGTCTATAAAGAAAGAATAAACATGAACACGCATGTACTGCACATATCGTATAAGTGGTTATTTTCGAGGGTTGCAAATTTCGCAGATTTCTTCCTGATTTGCGAAAATTAATTTAATACAGTACCCGCATGGCACATGTGGTAGAATTTGCAAAATTAAAATCCACGAATTAGAATTTTAGTAGGTTTCACGAAATATAGGACTCACAAAAACTACTGGCTATATGGTACTCAATCTTACCTTAGTTTATTCACTTGCTGCTGTGTAGTGGAGTCCAGTGACAGTATCTCACACATGTATTTGATAAACTCCAGTGCTGGATTAGTGAGGGAGAGGTGAGAGCCAGGCAGCTGGGGAAATAACTCGCTTGAATCTAAGCTGACGCCAAGCGAGCGATGAATATCTTGTGCAAGCCTATAAAAACATTTAATGATGCAATGTAATCTGTGCTTTGTATTCATAAAACACAAAGATACAATAATAAGATTATAACAATAATAATAACTTATAAGGTAATTAGAAATACTGCATAACTTCATTAGGGTAGTATCATAAAGCATTATCATAACTGATCCATTGTTACTTACGAAAACAGTTTCTCACTGAGCTGTCTCTCAATCAAGTCTTGAGAATAAGATACAATTGAAGTGACTAGTGAGCTATCATTAGGCTACAAAAACACAAACACATACCAATTATCATTACTACACACAATAAGGAGTTAGTGGAGGATGTGGTTGTTCTCATGAATGGAGAGCAATTTCCTCATAGAAAAGTTTTCCCTTCATCATCACAACCATTCCAACATTCCCTTCACCTCTAACCTGTGTACTACTCACAGACATAAGTTCCTGTATCTTCTCATACAGACCCTGTATGTAACCCCCTAGGGCGATGTTGAAAACTTTCTGGACCGAAGAAATTTCTGGTAAATAATTCACAATATTCCATTTCATGTCCAAGCTATAACGAGGCTCTTCTTCTACTTCATCTGCCACTAGAATCTCATCCACCGACCGTAACTCTTCCAATGATCTGGAATGCAGTGATTCAGGTAAAGGTATGCGAATCCCACCATAATTTGCCTAGGAAAAAAATATAGCCACAACTTGGCATGGACTACTCAAAAACACAGTCAAAATATAAAACAAGCTGACGATATTTTCTAGATGATGTAACAATACAAACATGTATGAGTAGTTGAGTACTTTATTCATCCATAGCAAAAGTTTCCAGCAGCCCTTGGGTTGTAATATTAATGAGTGGAAGAGATCACGCGAATAAATACTCTTACAAACAAATTTAATGTAAGCAGAGGCATCAGAGAGTCTACAACAAAGCCCTCAAACCAACAAAAAATTTCCCAAAATGAACCTACTTCCTTTTCTTAGTGCTTAGTATGATCCTGTTAAAATCAGCATAGACCACCATAGAGCCAAGTCTCTTAAACTCCCCCACTAACTGCATGAAGAGTTTACTCATTAGTTTATGAATCATGCGACACAATGCTGGTTCATATAGCAATGAATTTGGACTACTGATCCATCTATCATGCAAATACAACTTAGTCATTATTTTAATGTCTTATAGTGATTGTGGTACCTGTAAAAATGCTGTAATTGAAAGTCGGCATATGTTGTCTGACGTGTAGAAACTTCATGTAGCCATGTGTGTACTAGCCCTCTTAATATTCTATGTGTCAATGCAATTATAGGACAACAGGAATGACAAGTGATGGCTAACTAAATAACTAACTTGAAGGCATTGGAACAAAGAGCAGCTTCATCATATATTGACAGTGAAGCTGCTGCTGTACCATCCATCAGATCTTCCAATGAAGCCTTGAGAAAAGAGAGAGAGAGAAAGAGAGAGAGAGGGAGAGAGAGAGAGGGAGAGACAGAGGGAGAGACAGAGGGGGAGAGAGAGAGAGAGGTAAAGAGGAGAGAGAGGGGGTGAGATGTTGCCTAAGGCAGAATAGGTGCATTGTCCTTACTTGAGGTGCATAGTCAAAGCTGATGCTAGTGCTAGAGGCTCCCTCATAATCATTAATATGACTAGCCTGCAGTACAGCAGTCACTGCCAGTCCCTCAATACTCAGTTCTATACACGTTGAAGGATAGAGCCCAGGATTGTTCAGTTCCAGACTCCTCCCATCATCAGTCTCCATCATAAGACGATAATCATCAGACTCATGTCCTAAATAATACAACATAAGTAACCATATATACACACAGGAATGACCACATTTAACAAACTAATACTAATTGATGTGTTCACTGGCAACATATACCATATAGAAGGAAATTTTGGAGGGAGTTAAATTTGGCAAATTACTAAATTTTGGTGATTGGCGAATTTTAATTTGGCAAATTTATGGCCATGTGCCATTGAGCATGCGCATAATGGCTTAAAATGGCAGATTTTTGTTTTGGCAAATAGCTATTAAAATGCCAAATTCGACAAATTTGTACTTCCAAAATTTCCTTCTATACGGTAGCTAACAAAATACCAACACCTTATGCATGCTGTATTATACCATATAGTGCTTTATTTTGGCAGCACTTTATTTTGGCGATTTTGCTGTAAAATTGTAATTGGCGGTTTTTAATTTGGCAATTTTTGTGTACACGTGCATTACTGAGCATGCGCATTAATGATTGGCGGTTTTAATATTGGTGATTCCGCTTGCAGACCACCAATTGCCAAAATAAAACTCTGCCAAATTAAAGTGCTATACGGTAATACAGTAATCATGTACAGTATAAGTATCTTACCACCAAGGTCAGGCTGGTCGGTTGGGGTAGCCCATATCACATGATTATGTCTTGCAAGATGACGCGAATAGAAAACGTCAGCAGCATAGACCACAGCATCAGGACAGAAATTACCAACTGGTATGTGAGCATAGCGAGCATACTCCAATCGATTCTACACATTAAAAGAGAGAGAGAGAGAGAGAGAGAGAGAGAGAGAGAGGAGAGAAATAGTATTATTGATGTAGATGTACTGTGCTTACGTGAAGCCATGTAGGTGCATTTAGTAACTGAGCAATCATTTTCTTAGAAGCTGATCTCTGCCAGTCCAGTAATAGGTAATGATTATCACTTGAGAATGATAAAAGTAATGATATTATTACTGGTATTACTATAAATGTGTGTGTGTGTGTGTGTTTTTGTGCGTGAATATTCTAAGGAATATGGTACAGGGTTTCCCACAAAGCATGCTAAGTGAGATAAACACCATGAGCTTCATGAGCTTACTACAATAGAGTACATGACATTTGGGGCAACTTTAAAAATTCAAATTCCCATCAGAATCGTCTCAAAGTTAAAAGGGCATGTACATGTATCAGAAAAAATAATAAAAATGGAAATTCTCTCCTAGCCATTTTTGACAAACTTGGCCTCACCTATGTGTCAGGCCAAGTTTTTAGTTTTTAGTTTTTTAGCAACTTTAAAATTCATTAAAAAATGCAAATTTCATTGAAATCACATCAAAGTTGACACACAGGATAAGGACAAGCACATGTATCAGAAAAAAAATTAAAAAGAAGAATTCTCTCCTACTCATTTTTGTCAAAATACTCTCTACTACGAAGGTCTTTGGCCAGATTTTGGAGCAACTTTGACAATCGACTGACAAGAAGCTGCCTGAATGAGCACTCCAAAATCCTGTGGGAAACCCTGCCTATGGGTAACCATATATACAAATGTACATGTACATGTTTGTGTGTGTGTGTATACATGCATGTACATGTATGGCGCAGATTATGGTACAATGTATGTCTGGATGTTCATAATGTACCTCTCAATAAAGGGAATGAGTACGTGTGGGAACTGATCAAGAGCAGGGACTGCATTGCGTAGCTCTGCTATCCCTAAACAACAAACACACAAAAAATGAAAATTAACTAACATCCTCTTCATATGAAATACAAGCCACAAATTAATACGTAATATGTAACAATTAGCCGACATTTGGGAGCAATGTGACCGAGAAACCCCCACATGCAAAGAACATGCATAAGTACATGCAAATTGTATTTATTTGTCAGTGAGTCTACCTGTCACTCTTCAATGGAATTACTGTAAGGATTTATGACCAAAAACTAAACAATAACAGAGAGTAAGCTATAGCGGGCTGTTGATTACTTAGTGAAGTATGAAGGGAGAAACCAGCCATGACTCATCCTTATTCTATACACAAACTCATCAACTTCAATATCACTAGTAATACTTTCAATTCTAATCAGTTCATGACCAACCCCTACACTTAATGTATAATCATGTTCTAGCTGGTCTAGTCCCATTAGTCATATCATAACAAGGAAACTACTACTTTACACTTTAACTGCAAATACTTATTAGATACACTGTAGTAGTACCATTGTTTAAATAGCATAGTATCACTATACAGTGTACGCCTACCAGGAAAGGAGAATAAAGTAAATTATGAAGGTAAGAGTAAGTCCCTAAATCAAACTAACCATATCCTATATGTGTACATGTACATGTACATGTACATGTACTCACACACACACACACACACACACACACACACACACACACACTAATGTACCATACACATCACACACACATTTGCTAACCAGTATGAGTCTGTATTAATATCACAGTGGGCCCGTGATGAGATTCCTTATAATCCACTAATAATCTTTGTATGCTTCTAAGAGCTCGTCTGGCCTCAGTGTCAATACTAACATCAAACGTGAAGTCTTCCGGTGGCAAAGGGTAACCAGGACCAAACTCACTGATCCTAAAACAGATAAAAACACAAGTACAAATACAAGTACAGTGAGTTATTAACATTCCGTGGTTTGTTCCGCAATTCATGGTTTTATTTCATGGCTGACAGCTTTCAGGGGATGGAACTTCTGGGTGGCAGTTCCAAAACCACAAAAACCACAAGCTCCACAAAATAACGTAAGGCATACCATAGACATTAGGACAATGGAATAGGTCAATTTGTTTTATTTCCATACATCATTCACTCATGGAGAGACAAAAGAGAATCGCGTGTGTTTACACAAATAGAGAGACAAATGGAGAGGGAGTGCTGCCAACAAATCAAACAATGATAATAGAAAGACAAAACAACATGCTCCACACTCTTAAACATAAACAAGGCTTGGTTGCTACTACAGTCCTACTCTGTCATGAACTAGTAGTACAATTCATAACAAAAGCGCATGCATGTCATGTAGGCTGTATATGTAATAATTGATTTTAAAAAGGCACTGTCATATTTACCTTGAGTTTCTCTCAGATCGATAGAGGTTGCTAAGGTTAGGCATTTGGTTGGTCCTTACAGTATCAATCCCAAAGACATGAGCTTTACCAGTACCCATCATGAACAAGCCATATAAAGATGTAGACTCACTAGAAAGAGAGGAGAGAAAGGAGAGAAGGTAGAAAATCGTGTGCATGTGATAGAGAGAAATTAAGAGAGAGATAATGAGATTAAGGTAATCACATTATCCAAGTAAGGCAGAACAAACCATGAGCACTGATAGAAATGTATCAGTTTAACACAATCCTTCTCCATGTAGGGATACTGAGCTACTGTCTTGTAGTCTAATTGTGATAACTGAAAGGTGTCTATTGACTAGAAAAAAAAGAGGAAAATATAGAAAGCACATGTAGCAGTGAGTGCTTGTGTGGATTAATGTGAAAGGGAAAAGGGGACAGAGAAATAAAGGAGTAAGGTATAAAAAGATGCCTGTAACATAGAAAAGGAAAAATAGTGGTATAAGATTAAAGGCATTAACAAATAATGTACATACATGTACATTGTCATTGTACATGTACTATGTGATGTATGTACTGTGTATCAAGTGTTTATTGATAATATTAGGAGCATGAATCTTAGCAAAATGAACAATCAGCTAAGCTAAGTGAGCTAACACAAAATTACCCACAGGAAACAACAAAGGTTGTTGTATGTTACAACTTTGACTTACTCTATTCAAAACTGCTTTAGAGAAAGCTTTATTAACAGTACAGACACAACCAAGTGAGACGACTGATCTGAAATCAAGAGGAACATTGGACTCATACACGCCTTCAATATCAGGAGAAGACAACTGTGTCACCAATTCACTAGAAAATTAAAAAAAAAAGAAAAAAAAATTATAATAAGGTAACAGGTATAAGCCAGTGGGTGCATGCTGTGTGTATATGTCATGTGCTCATTAGTCATTATAATGAATGAATGAATGATCTCATGCTAGACTCAATGAACTAACTTCCTGTGCCCACTCATTGTACTACTTGTGAGAAGATCTACTAATTAGGGAATGTAACAAGTCACTGGACAGACAAGTGTCTATAACAGGTTCAAGGGGCAGACAGGCTTTATGCCCCATTAGCATAAATGCTAAAACTAGTTAGACACCCACTTCAAATATCATAGGATATCATCCAATATGATGATAATTTGATAAATGAGTATACAATATGTATTCCTGCACCCACACACTATACTATAAGTATTCCTATCACATACAGCTATATTTGTATTTATATCTATAGTCTGACAATAATTTACATATACATGTACATGTGTAATATAAAACAGCATCAAATTTCATGCACACAGAATTATGGTGCTAGATACTATACAAGATTATTCATTGGTGAGGAATTAATATTGGAAATTGGCGGTTCTATGAAGAAATTGTCAATATAAAATCTGCCATTATGTTTTAATCTGAGCATGCTCAATGGCATGTGGCACAAAATCGCCAATATAAAATTTGCTAATTTCTTTTCACAGGCAAAATCGCCAAATATTACTCCCACCAATAAATCATCTTGTACAGTATATACAACTGTACATGTAAGTGTATGTGTGTGTCATATACCCAGCATGTTCTTTGAAGATGGTTTCCGGTACACTGTACTCATAAAGATTGATAGGAGGAGTAGCTCTGGGCAGTATCTTTGATACATTACGCCATGCAGAGGTATCATCATCATCAGACGTTGTTAGCTGTCTCGATACTCTCGAGTTAACATAGAATATCCTTGGGATAGAAAGCTTCAATTGATGAAGGTCATCATCAACTAGGACCCACATAGTAAACTGGCCTGGCGTCTGTGTCTCTGACACCTATCACAAGACACAAATACATGATGCCACTCTTAGATTAGCTCCCCCTAATGTCATTGATTAGTATCAGTAATAGGATACTGACAGACATCACACTACCAATCATTCTGACTAGCTAGGGCTAGAGGTACAGTGTTACAGTACAGTCCAAATCCAAAAACAAACAAATGAAAAACAATACCACCTACACTTGAACTACAACACTAAATACCGTATAGCAGGAAATTTTCGTTGCCATGAAGTTTCATTGTCCATCCAAGCAGGCCTTACAAGATATTCTTGTTGAATTTATTTTTGTTGAGTAACATTAATTATTAATCATTTAACCAGTGAAACCCACTTCACTTTAAATGTTCATTGTCTAAAATTTATGTTGAAACTTTTGGCCAATGAAACAAAAACAAAAATTAGCACTCAACAAAAAAAATTCCTGCTATACGATAATTGCTTCAATTGTTTCATTACTGATACCTGTATTATCTGCCATGGTTGTTCGGCTAGTGCCCTGTTCTTCTGTCTGAGGAATCCTGACATGTTAGTCGAAGTGCTCCTGCTATCAAAGAAAGAAGTAAGTCCACCGCTAAGAGAAGGGTTCCTTCTGATGTGACGCTCTTTTCGCTGCCCTCTCTGTATCTGCCACTTTCTCTTATGGTAATCCAACCAGACAAGGAACTCACTCTATCAACATGTAACAGACATGATATTAATATTAAATATGAATGCATGTACAATGTACATGTACATGCACGCATTAATTACACGTATACATGGGCAAATAAAATGTAAACATGTAGACATACATTCCCTTTAATTCACTGAAGGTTAAAGGATAATCTCATCAATACAAACACCGGAATTACATGTAAGTACATGTACATGCGTGTACGTGCAGTTCAAGAGAATGTCTTACTCTAGTGTGTCCACAAGATGGAGGGGGTCCTAGAATTTCCTTCCAGGACCTCATGTTTTGTGATACTTGTGATGGTGAGGGTGAGGCTGTGTGTCTGGTGACTAGTGGGAGTGTTGCTTGTCCTCCTTTACGTTGTCTCTTGTTCCAATTAGTCTCTTCGATATCTCCAGTGCTATCATCAAGACGTCTTTTAGTACCACCACCACTCATCTCATTACTTGTATCCATATTCTCTGAATCATCCTATGAATGTATTCATACACATACTACAATAATCCCTCCTAGTTGCAACAGTAAATATTTCCCAACAAACTACACATACATGTACACGTAAATGATACAAACAACATGTGGCATGAACAAGTAAATTATGCACTCTTGGTATTATACAAACACAAGCAATGTAATTTATTTTATTAGCAGAATTCATTATTCTTTCAAGTTACAGTAAATGCACTACATACGTTAGGCTCACCTGTTGTTGCCTTGAGGGTAGAACTGTGAACATTTCACTGATTCTCTGTTGCTTGCATACATCAGTCTTCTCCAGGAGCCTCTTGTGCAACCAGTCAGGATGAGTCACTCTGGGAACAGGATTAGATACCTGCACACATAGAAAGGCCATGTACATGTGGTAACGTAAAGTACATGCGTGTTTCACATTCAAAAACATCACAAAAGTAAAGGAACGTATGATATACAAAGAAAAGATAGCAGTTATAAAAAACATGTAAAGTAAAAAAGGCCTATCAAAATACAACCATTACTTGAAGAGCAAAGTACATGTAAGATGAGAATTTATTTATTTATTTTTATTTATTTATTTATTTATTTTGTGAGGTTACCCGGATATTACAGTGTAAGTTTACAAAACAACATTAAACTCTTACCCCTTGCATAGCAGCAGGTATTGTAATGATCTTCTGTATAGCACTACCAAGCCTCTCTATGTAATACTTCCAATCTAATATCTGCAATTAAAAGCATCAAACACATTAACGCAATAACTGAATCACAGTAACGAGCTAACTACCATATACATGTACATGTACATGTACATGTACATGGATTGCATTAATAATTTGAATGGATTCAGTGTGTACTCTTGGGATATTACCAGGCTTCTTTAAAGAGGATACAGCATTCATTAATAATACACTAATAGGCAATGTACACTATTGAATTAGAGAAATAGAGTAATTTAAAGCATCACCTCACATACATGCATGTACATGTACATGTATGTGTGCACATCATAATTGTGATACAATGTAGTAAAGATTACTAAAGCCATTTTCACACTTGTCCACCTGGATCAAGAATTAGAACACTCCACTCTAATTAAGTCAACATGTATGTACATGCATGACTACATTGTACATGGGGTTACATAATGTGGAGAGTAAGTGTGAAAAGGACTCTCTTCTTGTATATACATGTACATGCTATTATATATTTACTTGTTGTACATGTACTTAATACTACATTTTGTATCTGACATGTTTTATGCTGTCTTAGTTTGTTACTATTATTATATTACCATTAAAAAAATTAAATGGCTAATTGCATGTAGCCAGTATACAGTGCAAACACTTACTGCTCTTATATCAAAGTCATCAAGAGCTGAACACTTTAACCATTTACAAAGATAGTGTCTAGTGATGGTGGGCTCTGCCTGGAATATAGCTAGTGGTATTGCTCTCTCTGTCACTGGTGATCCTTCAGGTTTACAAGCAATTATGAAACGACAGCTCAAGCCAGCATCTTTGACCATTTGATCTCCAAGAAACTACGAAAAAAATAAACAATAATAGTAGCTATTGAATGCATTGTTCTAGTATTAGTTCCAAGAGAAAAACTATTGCTGTGGAAAATAGTATTATGATTGTTTATCACACAATAATTGGAGAGTTCAATATACGTATAATCTGTGCATAAGTACCCACTACACACAGAATGTACAATTATATGGCAAAGATCCGTACAGGGTAATTTGTAAAAATGGCTCCAAGACATTTTTATAATATTTTTGATACACATACATGTACATGTACATGCATATACAATGTACCTACATGTATATTACATAACTGGTTCCAATCAAAATCAAATTTTAAGGAATTTTTGAAAGTTGCCCAAAGTCCCTGTGCTATAGCACAGTGACTTTGGTCAAATTTTGCCAAAATTACAATTGCGGCTATGTTAAAACTGAATTTAAAAAATAACAACCATCAAAAAGACAACTGCTGTCTTTACTCTTCTCATTTCATCACTGAAGAGGCGTGACTGCAGTACACATGTCGCTATACATGTAATGTATACACTAACTTCAGCTAATCTCTTAGCTGTACTGATGGACGTTGACTTCTGCTGCCCATAGTCCTCGAGCTTCCGTGACATGCTCCTGTTCTCAGATATCAAATCAAATAACTCAGAGTCTGGCATATTAGCAGCCTGCAATACCAATAAGTTATTTAACAATAAATAAATTATAGCAATGGAATCCCTTTACATGAATAACTATAGCATGTACATATAATTCCTTTTTAAACTGAAAGTACATGTACACAAATCACCAAATGCACACAAAAAATAATTTTAAATAAAATTATTATTATTATTATAAATACACACCTAGTCACTGACCTTACTATAAAGTACATCTAGCCAGAAGTTAGCCACTGTGGCCACAGACTCATAGCACTCTTGGAGTGTACTGCCATTGAGGAATGCCTCAAATACTGAGGACTGGAAGTTCTTTATCAATTGTAGTTCTCCGCGTCTTTTAACTTCAAATCCCTACGTTGATAGTTTATTTGCTCAATAAGAATAACAATATAATAATTATTATACAACCTTTAATTCAGCTAGTGTACCATCTTCATTAAAGACAGCATACCTAAACGCAGAGAGAAAAAGGAAAAGCACAGCTGTATTTTAAATTTATAATTAAAATTAATTTGTTGGTGACATATAAGGTTTATTTGATGGTATGGTGTACATGTATGTCCCATGCACCTATATACAGTGAACTAGCACTTATTAATACATTCTCACCTTTTCTTTAGTTTCTTTCCTTCTTCCTTTGATGCTGGTAGTATCATAGCTTTATAAGGACCATCAACCTACACATACACAAACACACACACACACACCACATCAATAATGGACTGTCTCTACCATATTAAGAGAAACTAACTTCAAAGAAGATAGAGTTCTCACTGGTTTGGTTATACTCCAGTTTCCCAGGGTCAATTAGTGTGTGGTACTGATGGTTAGTGAAATTATCCTATACAATCAAAACAAGAGTATATCATCTATTCTTGAAGTCTTGATCATGTACATGTACATAAATGTACATGTACATCACATGTATATACCTTTTAGTGGCCAAAAATTTCTGCTAATTAGTTTTTAATTTTGAGAGAAAAAACGAAAAATTTAATCCTTAAAAATTATACTCTTCTACTATGCCAAGGTGTATATCAGCAAGAATAAAGTTGCAAAAGGAAAATATCCATCCTTCCTTTATTAAATTAATATCACAATCTTACTTGAACCATAACATTCAACATAGCTCCAGGATATGACACAGTCACTTTAGGACGCTTCCCTGTAGTGTGGAACTACATACAATCAATACACATAAGCACACATTAATATATTGTACTTCAAAATTCTCAGGAAAGCTTGAGGGGAGGATACACCAAATACCATCAGTATCTAACTCCAGTGGACGCCTATTAACAGCAATAATAATAAATGTAATTAAGAGTGTACATGTACATGCATGTAAGTGTATCGATACACGATTGTATCGTGTGATTGTAATGTATTGTGAGTAATGTATTGTATCGATCGTGTGCTTTAATTACCCAATTTGTTCAACAATTTCTCTAGCGTGAGTAATGATACTGGCTCCAGTGTAACACACTATACCAGCCATTTCCATTGAGTACCAACGTGCCCTATTAATATAATAATCTATAATGTATTGTACTATAGTAAGTATTGTATTGTATTACAGTATGTACTGTACACATGTATGATTAGAGACATTGGGTCCATTACAATAAAAACATGTATTAATGTTTTACCACACAAGATGATTTATTGGCGAGAGTAATACATGGCAAATTTACCTGTGGAGAGTTAATTGGTGATTTTGTGCTATGTGCCATTGAGTATGCTCAGATTGAAAAAAAAATGGCAGATTTTATATATATTGGCTATTTTTTCATAGAACGCCAATTGCCAATATTAATTCCTTGCCAATAAATCATCTTGTACAGTACACATGTGAAATAAAGTCTCTGTTCAAATTTTAAAGCAACTTTAAAAAATTTCTAAAAACACCAATTTAGATTAAAATCAGCTCAAACTTGGTACACAGCATAAGAACAAGTGTGTTACAGAGTTGTATCACTCTATGTCTGGTATAGTAACAATGTACATGTACATATGTATCAGAAGCTTATAGATAGAATAGAGAGTATGATGACTGACCCTTTCCTCATTACATATCCATAAAAGGAATTGAGGATACATTTGTGTGCTAGCTGTAGTGAGTCATACAGTACTTCTTTGTTCTTGCAGCTAAAGATGAGGCAAAATAAAAACACATTAAGTACATGATATCAATTGGTTTTAAAATATTCTTCTCAATTAGCACTACAACTACAACTACAGTATAATTTTTTTTAATGTCTGTCATTTATAGAATACTCAAGTACTACCATATAGCGAGAAATTTTGGAGGGAATTAAATTTGGCAAATTGGAGTTTTGATAGCCATTCGCCAAAATTAAAATCCCCCATTTTGAGCCATTATACGCATGCTCAACGGCACATGGCCACAAATTTGCCAAATTAAAACCCACCAATCACCAAAATTTTGCAATTCACCAAATTTTACTCCCTCCAAAATTTCCTGTTATATACGGTATAAATTTGTTCATTAAGCTCTGAGCTCCAACTTTCACATGTACAGTATACATGTACATGTGATATGTCTGCATGTTTATAGACTGTATTTCATTTTCAGCCACAGGCCCTTTGTACATGTAGAGAATGTTCTTGCCTCTTTATCTCTGCTGGGTCTCCTTCTTGTTTAGCAGCGTCAAGTTTCTTCTTCCAAACTTTCAACAATCCTTTGAATTTATACCGACGGTCCCGAAATGCTCTGACAGTGTCCACATAGAACGAGTTTTCTTTCTGACAGACTGTTGTGCTTCGTAACTCTTCTCTTGTCACACGGACACGTTTATAAGCTTTACGACAATAATCTAAAGAAAATCACAATTTAATGAATATGTACATTGTACAAGACTATTTGAATCCACATACATATACAAGTAATGTTATTGATACAAAAGTCACGAGAATAGCTAAAAAATTGCTGAGTGCATGTGGCTAAAAGATATGCATGTATACAATACTGTTTTAGCACATGCACATATACCACATAACTAAATGTAAAACTGATGATGAACAGTAACTAACTTCTTAAGGGAGTGGCTCCCAATAATACATGTACAGTACACTAATGTACATGTATATATAACTGAGTACTATATTTTATAATTTTTAAATCACTTGTAATAAATTATTAAAAAATAAAATACCCACTAACATAATAATAATAAATAATAATATTATAATGACCTTAAAAGGTCATCCTCCCTCCTCATGAGTCATTCCACTGTTATCAACAATGCTTCCCTTTATTCTCTACTTGTAGTACAAACCTGCTAGACGTTTCTTCTCAATGCTCGCTTGTTCAATAGGAGGGAGTTGATGATAGCTGCGAGGAGGATCACCAGGTGCTAGTCCTGGTAACGTCTCACTCTCTAACTGTAACTTAATACTTTGATACTCATTACGACTTGCAGGCACTACCAGGACAAATAAAAATACATTAAATAAATAATAGTACACATTACACAGCCAAGTATAATCAAGTTGATCAGGCCTGATTCTGCCTGACACCAGGCCTGATATCAGGCATGGACTATGAATTTTGGGCAATCAGTCCTGATACAATCATCAGGCATGGATGGTACAAGCATGATAAGCATCTATACTGAATCAGGCCAGACCGACTTTCATGATTCAGCAATGATAGCCATCAGGGCTGTACCAGTACTGATATCAGGCCTGATCTAGTAATTGTGGGCAACATTTTGGCTGTGTATACAGTCTGACAACTATCATTGCTGAATCATGTACACGTATGTTGCTCTGGCTGAACCAGTATGAATTCCAGCATAATTGCATCAAGGCTGTCAAGCTAGGCTCATTGCCATGTTAGCTGCCAAAAATCCATGATTCAGGATGCATGAGGCTGGATCATGACTGATATCAGTCATGATTCAATCACAAACTCTTGGCTGTGTTGTGTAGTAGTACAAATTAGGTAAAATGTAGAAAATGCTTACAGAAGTCTCCTCTCCATTTCCAGTCCATGTGTCTCTGGCAGGTGCAGCCTGGTTTATTGAAGTCGCACGAAGCACACATGACCTCATCAACAATAGCAGGTGGCTGTATCAAAAATAAATTTAAAAAACATAAATTAAACTAATACATGACTATAGCAGCTTTTTAACATTAAAGTACATGTATTATGCTTATGTGCAGTGTGACTGTGTGTGGATAGAATATCAATACACTTTTATTGACTCCTCTTAACTATTGACTTATGTTGATTTTTGAATTATATATGTACAATAATTTCTAATAAACAATTAATTATAATTATGTTATCATTATTATTATTATTATTATTATTAATTTAAACACAAAATAATTAACAAAGTGATTTATTATAAACACGAACAAAAACAAGTAAATACAAAATTATTATTATTATTATTATTACTATCACTATTACTATCATACAATTTCAGTTAGTAATGAGAGAAAGAGAGATAGAGTTGAGGCAAAATAAAAATAATTTTATTATTATTATTATTATTATTATTATTATTATTATTATTATTATTATTATTATTATTATTATTGCTCAATACCTGAAGGCGATTGGTGAGTATAATGTTAGGATACATAGCTCCAACATCAAGATGATATATCAATGGATGCTCCAGTCGCTGTGGAGTCTCCTTCAGGTTAATCAGTTTAGAAACTATTTCACTACAAACCTACAGAATACAATACAAACAAATCACTTTCTCCTTACACATGTACATGCAAGCCATCTTTCTCCCATTCACTTCTTTCCCATCATTTAAATTATACTATCATTTAGCATACGCTCCAGTTATTTCCCACCCTTGTACAGTTGTACTGTACATGTAATGTACATATGTACATTCTTTAGACTCCCTTTTGGAACAATTCCCAATTCCCATCCAACTATTCCTGTCTACCTATAGTCCCATCTCACTTTCAATAAAATAATTCCCCTCTAATTCAACTCCTTTACACATCTTCCTTCTACTACATTAAGAATCTTTCTCTATCCCTCTTTATCATTCTTTCCTTTCCCCCTCTCTCCTCCTCCTCCTCCTATCATGTATTCCATTCCTTGCCTCATTAAAGTCTGTGACTTCTTCAAGTGGTACCTTCTCTTCAACCTCAAGAGCGTGCTTCATTGTTCTGTTCACATTATCAGCAAGACACTGCAACATGTCAGGACTCTACAACAACACACAATGTACAAGAACAACTCCATACATACAAGTACATACAGGAATAGGCACACATTTACATTGTACACATACATGTACATGTAAATATGATTGAATAATAAACATAAACTATTTGGCAAAAAAATTAATTCTAGATGTATATGTCGTATATTCATAATTGGTATTGTAAATATTATTACCAGTTTAAATCTTGAAGGAATGTCACTACGGAAGACTCCAGACTCCAGTGCTTCCACATGACCTCCAACATACGTTTCACTGTCCAATAAATGACCATCATCAGTTAACTTGTTTAATGTCTGAGAGGAGGAGAGAGAGGGAGGGAGGAGAGAGGGGGGAGGGAGGGGAGAGAGACAGAGACAGAGACAGAGACAGAGAGACAGAGACAGAGACAGAGAGAGGGAGAGAGAGAGGGGGAGGGAGGGAAGAGAGAGAGAGAGAGAGAGAGAGAGAGAGGGAGGGAGGGAGGGAGGGAGGGAGGGAGGGAGGGAGGGAGGGAGGGAGGGAGGGAGGGAGGGAGGGAGGGGAGAGAGAGAGAGAGAGAGAGAGAGAGAGAGTAAAAGAGATGGTAAGGAAAGGAAAGAAATAATAAGAAACCAGTAAGGAACAGAAGGAGTATAATAGTCAATATTTTACTGTATGCAAACTTTTGAGCATTATTTTATGAGCAATAAAAATACAATCTTCATTGCATGCATGTTTTCATGAAAAATATTTACAATTTTATTTTCTGATACTGTACTACACTTAGTACACTAGACAATAAAAGTAACTAAACAAGGAAATGAGAGCCTACAGTACATGCACAAGCAATAATACTTGTGATTTGTATTAGAGATTACTGAACAAAATGGCTACAAGCGCCCAAAAACCACTGATAAAAAAAAACAAATTTATACATAATTGCATGAACATACAGTACACCATCAATCCACCACATATAATCCCTAATATCTTACTGATTCTTGTTTGTTGGGGAATATAATGTTCCCATGGTATGCCTGGACCATTAGTAAAGCCTCACAGAGTGTGCCTGATCCTTTACGCAATACCTCATCAGGCTCCATTGGGATTATAGTGCACAGTGCAAATATGAATGGATGAACGTATTTGAGATAAAGGTAATATGTAGCAACAGCATCAGAGACTGAATAACTAGCCAATACCTGTGTATAATAAGAAAATAGAATCATGTGCTAATTAATGGTTTATGTGTAATTCAATGAAAAATATAATAATATAGTATGCAGCAAAAATAATGATCTGTATGATACTTAAGTTTTGAAAGGATATAGAACTTTGATATTAAATAACCTGGGGATGAAGCCCCACGTCATTCCTAAAATTGTTTTCACCCGAATTTCAGTCAAAAATCAGCTTAAACCTTCTATACAGCATACGGGCATAAATATGTATCAGAAAATGTAATAAAATTTGGGGTGATTTTGGAGCCATTTTTTGGAAAAACCATGAGCTGGGTACTTTTTAAAATTTTGGCACTTTCTTAAAATGGCCGTAACTTGAAAAATTGAATTCGGAATCAGCTAAAACTTTCTATACAGCATAAGGGAATCAATATGTATCAAAAAATGTAATAAAAGTTTGGGGTGATTTTGGAGCCATTTTTTGGAAAAAACCATGGGCTATAGTCTTGGGTATTTTTTAGAATTTTGGCACTTTCTTAAAATGGCCGTAACTTGAAAAATTGAAGCCTGAATCAGCTCAAACTTTCTACACAGCATAAGGGCATCAATATGTATCAAAAAATGTAATAAAAGTTTGGGGTGATTTTAGAGCCATTTTTTGGAAAAAACCATGGGCTATATAGTCTTGGGTATTTTTTAGAATTTTGGTGCTTTCTTAAAATGGTTGTAACTTGAAAAATTGAAGTCGGAATCAGCTCAAACCTTCTACACAGCATAAGGGCATCAATATGTATCAAAAAATGTAATAAAAGTTTGGGGTGATTTCGGAGCCATTTTTTGGAAAAAACCATGGGCTATAGTCTTGGGTATTTTTTAGAATTTTGGCGCTTTCTTAAAATGGCCGTAACTTAAAAATTGAAGTCGGAATCAGCTCAAACTTTCTACACAGCATAAGGGCATCAATATGTATCAGAAAATGTAATTAAAATGTGGGGTGATTTCGGAGCCATTTTTTTGAAAAACTATGGGCTATAGTCTTGGGTATTTTTTAGAATTTTGGTGCTTTATTAAAATGGTCGTAACTTGAAAAATTGAAGTCAAAATCAGCTCAAACTTTCTACACAGCATAAGGGCATCAATATGTATCAGAAAATGTAATAAAAATTTGGGTGATTTCGGAGCCAATTTTTGATAAAATTAGCCACTTTTAAAAATGGCCATAACTAGTGTCAGAATCGGCCCAAATTTTCTACATAAATAAGGACATCCAAAAGACCTCTCTAGAAGCATTAGAAAGTAGAGAGAACCTCTATACATGTAAGTCTTAATAAGAGCCTACCTATCCATGCAAAGTAGTGAAAACAATTATAGGAATATTTTACATTTCATCAATGCATGCAAAAAATAATGATTTTATAATTAATCATACCTGTGGTTGCTCACTGGCCATCCTACACATATCCTCAGGGTCTAACTCTATTGGATCATAACGGAGTTTAGCCTATCAGAAATACACCACTAGTGAACACAACACCAGCACACTACATGTACTGGACACACTTTAGTAGTAGCTTTGAGGTTCTGACTACCAACTGGCAAATAACTGTCTCTCTTTACCCACCTAATACCATTGAAAGAATTAATGAAGAAGAGAACATTATAAGTGAGTAAAGTGACTAGAGAGAGAGAGAGAGAGGGAGAGGAAGAGAGAGAGAAAGAGAGGGAGAGAGAGAAAGAGAGGGAGAGAGAGAAAGAGGAAGGGAGAGAAAGAGAGAGAGAGAGAAGGAGGGAGGGAGGGAGAGAGAGAGAGGGAGGGAGTGAGAGTCTGAGAGAAGGAGAAGAGCAGGAGAAGTACCTAAATGCGTCCATGTGAATACAAGGCCTGCTCTTATACTCATTAAGTGAGTCGGGAGCAAACCCAATCTCATCATACATTGATATGTGATAAAACTCAGCCCTTGCCTCAACAAAAGGCCTACAACAAAGAAAAGAGAGAATTAATTAAATTAAGAGTTAGATGGACAGTATCATTATTAATTATAATTACCAATCAAATGAGTCGCCATTGTATGTGACTATGATATTAGGTTTAACTTGAGTAATATGATCAAAGAATTTTCTCAGTAGAGACACCTATAGTATGATAATAATGATGATGATGGGTGTCTGTGATTATATGATACCTCATTGGGTTCATTGTATACTCTAAAAGGTCCTTCATATTCTGGTTTTGGTGTGTACTCAAAATCCTCAACATCTCCACCAACAATCTCTCTATTTGTTAGCAAATATCCCTGAGGGGATATTATATTCACAATAATAATAATCACTCGTAATGTAAGTGCATGGTAACAGCTGCATCAAACTCAAAGTATTCGTACCACATGATTCTAATCAAGCAGTCATTAGATATACATGTAAGACATGTTAGGTAATAATTATTGTCATGCACTTGCTTAACAACAGCATTTCATCATTTTACAAGTATTGCAATTTGCAGATATTGCCTCATAATTGAGTCAGGCATGAGGTAAATTATATTAAAAAGTGTTACATTAGAATTGGCAATAATTGACTGAAATAAAGTAATACTCAAATACATGTACCTGTCCATCAATCATGTATGATATCATCATGATGACATCAGAGCTAGCGTCAGGGAACTTCAATGGCAACTTTGTAGTCTCAATATCAAACGCCATGATGACAGGATCCTGCAGTGACATGTACATGTGTAATGTAATGCATGAATACTAGGTTATAGTGACTCACTGGTCTATCAGGCTCATCTTCTAACATACGAATCTCAGGAGGATCTAAACCACACCCTTTAACATAATACCAATGACCCTACATGCACATGTACATGTATACATGTGTATGTACATTGAAAAAGATAATGAAGGAATCAAGGAGAGAGGGAGAGAGTGGTGAAGATTAAGAAAAGGAGAAGAGAGAGAAAAAGAAGCAAGATAAATACATGTACATACACTGTACAGGTGTCATGAATTAATGATATATAAATTAATGATACATTAATGATACATGAATTAATGATACATGACTATTATAGATATAGTCATGTACATGTATTATGTACACATGTATATGAATGTAAGTGGTGCTTTAACGCATGCTTAAAGTATTAATTACTTAACATACCACATTAATGCGATTATCAATAGCCACTCTTATATGATATGGTACATCATGTTCTCTTATATCAATGATATTCTCCATTTGATCAGTTACTGTATGACTGGCCCCTCCAGTACTGGACACAAAACCACTATTAAACATTAATATAAAATATAATAATTATTGCTACAATTTTGCACTTAAATGTACTGCATGCATACATGTACTGGTATGTGTACAATATATGTAAATGTACATTATTATAATTATTATGATTACCCTGTGAATAGACCAGGATCATATACAGCTTTAGACTTCTCTCTGGTCTTATTCCTCTTAACAGCTGGAACAATATCCCTGTAAAAAAACTAGCATCAGCCACATTAAACTAGCATCAGCCACAGTGCATGGATAACACTTCTTAAAGTACATGTACATGTAGCATAAAATCATTATTACCTTTTTGCTTTCATGAGATCATCAACACTATGAAACCTCAGCTTTAAATAAATTGCTTTTAAACCAACAAGATGATTAGGCTAAAAAAAGACAATTATAATTATATGCAGTTGAATACTTGCAAGGTTTATTTCTGAATAAGTATAGAGAAAATCTAACAAACAATTCACAAGTACATGTACATGTGTACATGCAATTTTTTGCATATGAAACCAAGAAACAATAATTAAAGATAATAATCATTACTATCATACAAGTACAGCAATTACATTTATGGTAAAAGTAAATAAAAATTATTAACTCAGTCTTACGATTTCATAAAATCTCATTAAAAAGGAAAAATGTTTACATTTCTATTTAATATCAACTCACTAAATCAAGGTCTTCCTTTTCCACTGTATCGATCCCGGCAAGACGGCCAGAGAATTTACGACTCAAGAACAAACTCACTTCTCTCTCAACACCTTTCTGAGTAGCAATGTAAAAGTAAGGTTGGTAAGGGAGGGAGACTTTGAAACGATTGCCATCTTCTTCAACAAAATAAAAATCAACAGCACTGACTAGACGCTGATTATCATCCATTACATCAGACTAGGAAGAGAAGAGTGTATCAACTATAACACTGTATGGTGGATCCAAGAAAATTAATAGGAAGGGGTTCCATTTCAATTAAGTGGGTGTGGCTCATTAATTTTAATTAATAATTTGGTGTGGTCATAAACGAAAATTAATAAAATGGAGGAAAAGTGCTGCAAGGAGAGTAAAAAAAGACAACTTCTTCTACCAAGGAGAGGGTTCCATTGAACCCATCAACCCCCTGAATCCGCCACTGTACAATCTTAGTCACTATACTACCAAAAACCTTAACATTAAAATTTTCAAATGCAGTAATCTACTTAACAGAATAAAATTTTGAGAAACTTGACAATTAAATTTGGGTAGATTCATGAGATATCAGTGGCTTACTGGATGAAAGTTAATCAGCCATCCCATCTTCTCCTCCAGCTCAAGGTATCTCTCGTATCCAAACTTCCTGTCCATCTCATCTGATCGTAGAGCCCTCTGGTATCTACTGGACCCATCCTCTCTATCCAGCATAAAAAAATAATATCAAAATAAGATAAATTAATTATAATGTAATACTGTATAGCCAGAAAATTTGGCGGAGAATTAAACTTGGTGGATCAGGGCTCAAAATAAAACTGCCAATATTATAACTGTCAATCATAATTGCAATAATGGGCGGATCCCGTCTTGAGCACATGATACTAAAAATGCCAAAATGGCAGTAATTCTCACTATTTCATTCAAGACTGTGGGTAAGGACTGTCAAGGAGTAGCTTCAAGAAGAGCTGAGTGTACTTAAGGAAAAGATAAGATAGTAAACTGCCAAATTAAAAGACCACCAATATTATATTTAGGCAATTTAATGCAAAACCACCAAAGTTTTAGACTGCCAAATTTTCCGGTTATGGTACATCTATATATTATATCAAAAATGGAATGGATAATTATTATCCACTAGTGATGGGCAATTCCAAGCCCGGAGTATTTGATGCTTCGATTCAAATGGAATCTTACTCGTATCAAAAGAGAAGTTGGAATCATTTCAAAAAATTCCAAATTAAGTCATACCCAACCACACCCTTTAAAATTAAGAATAGTTAATAAACCAGTAATTAGTACATTAACTATTCATTATTATGTGCTGTAATAGATAACACATACTGTATAGCCACAAAGTTTTGAGGCAATAAACTTTTGCAAATCAGGCCACAAGTCTTTTTTCGCAAATTAACTTTCGTGGTTCTTATTTTAAAGTACACGTGTTTATAGGGTGTATGGATAATTTTACGGAATTAACTTTCACAAATACGGAAAATCCACAAAAAACAGCAAAAATTGTACCCTCAAAATTAAGTGGCTATACATAGTTTTGCACATGCAGAGCTGTAGTACTCAGAATTGGCATTCAATTCCAGTCCCAGAATCAGAATCCACTGGATTCTCCCATCTCTATACCATTTTTATAATAATATTATGATATCATTAATAATTATTATAAAAATGGTGGGGAAAATTAAGTCTGAAAGCAAAAAATACCTTTCTTCTCTTTTTTTCCCTTTTAGAACAGGCTGGTAGTTCTCATCATCTATGTGGAGGGGAGCCGCACACATACTAAAGATTTCGCGGAGGATCTCGCACCAAAGCCGAGACTGAGAGCCCGCCCCAGTGTTGCCAGTTGTTCACAAAATTTTGTCAAAAGTTCAGGTTTTCAAAAAAAGTTAGATCTATGTTTTTCAAAATTTTGCAACTTTAATAACTAGGCCTACAAAATTAACTTTTATAACTACTTAATAACTATAGTAATTAATTTTTATAACTTTAATAAAGAAGACTATTTTGAGAGCTAAATCAATGCAAAACACTGTATATTGCATAAACAATGGACTTTAAAGCTACTCAAACATTGAATTTTCAAAGTTCATAAAAAGTCAAAAGTTAAGTTTGTGAAAAAATTAGTTCATGAAAAGCTCATGGCAAGGTTGAAAAGTTCATGAAACATGAACTTTGTTCATGACCTATTAAACAGTCACATGACCAAATCATAATCACATGCATGCCCACACATGGTATGTAATTTTATGGTAGCACAGGCTGATGTGCTGCCATAAAATTACCATGAAATAAGTGCATGTATTCTGATTTCTGAACAATGAACAATTAGATCTATAGTTTGATATTTAAAAAAATTACTAAATCCAAACAACTAATTTTAAATAAGTTTATGCAGCAAACTGGGTCTCTAAAAGCTACTAAATGCCTATTTACTAGCTAAAACTTTTAAACTTTTGTCCTATT